TCAACTCCAGCTCCACGACGATAAGCAAACTGCAGGGGGTCCTGATGTGTGCTTGTTTGCTTACTCAGGTGGGTCAAMARGARTCTCTYTAGGACCTTCATGATGTGGGATGTCAGGGCAACAGGTAGTCATTGAGGGCTGATGGGTGAGTTKTCTTTGGTACTGGAACCAGACAGGATGTCTTCCACAACACTGGCACCTTCTCCTGGGTTAAGCTAAGGTTGAAGAGGTGTTGCTGAATCTCACAGAGCTGGTCTGCACAGGTCTTCAGGACTCTGGGGCTGACATCATCTGGACCTGCAGCCTTGTTCTGGTTCAGTCTCTCTAGCTGCCTCTTCACCTGACTTCTAGATACAGAAAAGTGGGAGGGGGAGGGAAAGGGAGCAGCGGCATCTCCTGATTTAGTTGAAGACAAACTTGTGGATGTAGAAGAAAAGTCCATGACTGAGGTTGACGATAAAACATCTGAGGTTTGACAGGAAAGCTGTGGGTCAAAGGAGGGTGAGATGTCTGTTTGGCTGGGGGCAGGAGAGGAGGAAGATGAGCTTGTTCCTGAGCTGAACCTGTTGAAGAATGTGTTCAGCTCATTTGCTCTGTCCAGACTTCCATCCATCCGATTCTGCTTTTGCTTGAATTACAAACTATAACACCACATACAAAATACATAATGACAAAATCTTTATTTTATCATTAAATATCAATTTAACATTGTAGAAAAYGATGGGCCAAGTCATCATCTCCAGTGCATCATATTTATTTTTGAAAGAACAGGTATAAAGACCCGTCCAATATGGCAGTGAAGCACGATGTGATTCAGCGTGAGTGGAACTGTGGCGTCATCGCGYTCAATGTGACTGCGTAAGCGTGACAAGCATTGTCAAAGTGATTGCGCAAATACATTATACAAAATCCAAAAACATGATACAGGTCAGTGTGAGCACTGTGGGCAAGAAGAAACCATAGAACATGTCATTTTAGTATGCAGGGAATATGAACAAAACAGAAGATGGATGATATACAAGTTAAGAAAAATCAAAGAAACATTTAATATAATAAATATATTACAAAAAGACAGAAGAGAAGAAAATATAATAACCAGACGAAGATTTGGACATGTTGCATGAAGAACACTTAAAAACACAATACAGGTCAGTGTGAGCACTGTG